CCGTCAGGACGAATCCCGATGAAAGCCCGCCTTGCATCTTGTTCCGGGATTCCAAACTCAATCAGATCCTCCAAGAACAGGAATGTCAAGTCCTCTGGGGTTGTAATCCCCAACACCTGCAGTTTACCACACAACCACTCAACTCCCCTTTCACGTAAAAACCTAGAGAGATCTTGGTTCTCAGTGCTCAACTGAGGGAAGCCTCCAGGATTGCCATTGGTAAAATCCCAACCTATGATAGGTGTATTCGTATCCTCCTGTAGATCACTCTCAAGCGAAGTTGGGAAAGGCTCGGCAGGGACCAGGTCATGTTCCCCCATTGGTTCCCGATTGAAGCCCTGTTGGTTGGGTTCGGGACTTGATTGGCTGTCGGTTGAACTCGAATCATCATGCTTTACCATACGAACCTCATGATCGATGTTCCCGCTGGGCCCAAAGGTAAATCCCAATCCCTCCAAATTAACCCTAACCAATTCCTCAAGCTTCCGCGAACCAAGTGGAGTATAGCCCACGACTAGCCAATCAGGAGTTTTCTGTACAGCATGAGGTTTCCTGGCATCAAACGACACGACCTCCCCTGTCAAGGCCACACACCTTGGTGAATCCCAATCCGGCTCAGGCATCTCCCCCCTTCTAACACCATCATCGGAAGAAACCCAGAGCCTAAGCATACCAGGTACGTAAGCCACGTGGTTCAGGGAGCCCCACTCGTTGCGAAAGTCCTTATGTGCAGGAACATCGGCAGCACGTATGATCATGATCGCGGTCCAGGATTGGTTGAGATCCTTCTTCTCCTCATCCTGGAGCCTATTCCTCAGGAAACAATTCACATACTTGGTGAAGCTAGGGCTTTGGTGAGTAAGCCTAGTCATACCTCTAATGCCGCCGTGGCAATATGCACCCAGAACAATTCGTTCATCAAACTCACCCCTTCGATCAAATGAAGAGTGATCCCTTTTGGCAACGTGGTCAACTATCTTCGCAAATGTTTCATTGTCAAACCTCTCTTGGATTGTTGCCGAACTGGCCAAGGCCTCAAAATCAACCGACTCATCGTACTCAACAAAGCGGACCGTGGTCTTTCCTGTGATCCTCCTCAATGGCATAGAATGAGGCTCTTGCTCCTCCTCATCCCCGAACAAATCCCAGTCCTCAGACTCCTCCTGGATTGGTGGAACTCTGGCCTCCTCTAAAGCGCCTGGATCTACCACTCCAGAGCGAAAGCCCTTTGAAGACACTAAGTTGCCTTCCTCCGTAAGAAGCACATGTCCTTCCGGAACCGAAATATGAGGAGCCATATACTTAGTCATAACCCAACGCGGTGAGAAATCCTTGATCGCTCCAGACGGCCGCTTTAACTTGTGAAGTACATCCTGTCCGAACGCTGGAAGCGAAGGCTCTCCATGGACCCGCCGATTGTGTGACTCCACTGCCCATCTTGCAGCGAGAGGCCAAAACCTTACGTCAGTCTTAGACGATGTGAGAAGAGTCTTGACCCTGGACTTAACCCAACCCACCGTTCGTTCGGCTAAGCCGTTAGCCTTCTTATCCGTCGGTAAAGAATGCTGAACCCTCACAGAGTGTTCTGTCATCCACCGGGTGAGTCCTGATGATGTAAATTCAGTTCCTTGGTCACAATGAAGGATTCGTACAGGATACCTTTTATTGATAGCAAGTATCATACGCTGAATACCGTGTGCGACATCTGCTCCGGTCTTAGATTTCAGCGCAACAAAGTACCGCAACACCACCATTTCAACCGGTTTCTTCAGTTCCTCCACTAGGCGCTCAAGTTCAACCTTATCAGAGGGAAGCTCTCCAGCGCCCCAATCCTCAACAGACTCAGCGACCAACCCATCAGGTCCCGCAGAACCGTCCACCGCTTGAGCAGAAACACTAGGCAGTCCCCTGTCATCATCTCGGAACAGTTCAGAGGGTGACTCCATAACAGGTTGGAATCCATCAATGGGAACGGCAGCGTCCCCTTCATCAGGAACCGAAGGTTCATATTCATCCATATCTTCCTCTGGAAACACATCCGAAGGAAAGAGATCAGCTATTCCATGTGGATCTTGAGGGAACGACGACTGCACGATAACAGATCTGGGCACTCTAAAGGCACCGACTAGACCATACTTAACGTGTGGGTTGCCTGACACCGATTGCTCATCGCGACCGTGCTCCCCCTTCGGAAGGGGGCCAAACAGGTCAACGGATAAGCTGAAGGATTGAGGGAACTTCACACGACGATGCTGAACTCCAAGCCCAGCTCCCTCTACGCAAAACCTACAATCCCGTCTATAAGGAACGTGCCCATTGGCCAGGTGTGCTTGCCACGCCGCAGTCTCCTGGGGTGTTAATTCGCAAACCCTCGCCGATGAGTCCACATGATCGGGTGACGCATCAATTTCCTCAGGCATGGAAGGAACCTCCCCTACGGCAACCACAGCTCCATCACCGAGGACTTCATCATCACTCCTTGGAGCTCGCTCACGCTGTGCCCTTGAAATCATCTCATCCAGAACATGGCATGGTGGACAATGAACCTTCCCACCCAAGGCCTTGGTAAGTTCCTGTACCAACTGAGTTGTCCATCGTCCAACATGTTTACCCTTACTACTGTAACCGTTACTCATGAACTCAAACTTCGGATCTACAAGATGCTGCATGGGCAGATTGGTGATCACCGACATAGGCACCAAGTGGATTAAGTCTTGTTCAGAAGACTCACGATTAAACTCATCCATGCGAGACCATGTCTTCCAGGCACGGCGCAATCCCATATCACCAAGTGGGAGGTTTGAGCTCCTGAAGTAGGGGACTCCTTGACCCTTTGCAACCGACGCAACCGTCCACAGGAACATGTCTTGCACGGCCAAGGGGGAACACATTTCAAAGGACTCCTTAGGGGGCGACGAAAGAACAGTTGATACCCTACCAGTTGACGCAGCCCACAAAAGAACGGACCACACACCCGAGGTCCTCAACAAATCCCAGCCCTTTCCTCCAGAGCACTGAACATCCACACGAAGCAGCTCCAACCCTCGCTCGTCGGCACACGCTCTGAGTGGATCATCCCTCGGTTCAGGACCGGAACACAAATGGACCAGCCAAGGCAAGAAGTGCCCTTCGACGCGCCCGTTTCAAAGGAAGTCTTTTCAGAATTCGTTTACCAGCATCCTCGGACATCCCAGGGAGTTCCTCCGCTAATGGAACCGTCATTTCATCCGGAAGACCCTGCAAATACGGTTGTGCAAAGATCGCCCTCAATGCATCTCCTCTATTACCGGATGTGATGTACCTCTGAACCGCCACGGTGGGATTGACTGGGGCATTCAGAGCCTGAAGGTGGCACTCAAGGTCCTGAACCTCTTCCTCAAACCTTTTCAACCTTGCTTCCTCAAGCTCACGGATAAGGCTCAACGCCTGCGTCTCCTGAATATACGGACAGGTATTCTTGGAAACCCCGGTCCGGAGTGTACCAAGAGTGGGATGTGTGACTCTCAAGCCCTGTTTCTTTGACCAGAAAATCTTACACCCCAACGACTCTACCAATGCCCCGAGTGGGAGAATAGTTTGTGGTTTGCTCCCTTGAGCACCAGTTTCCATCGATTCAGGAACCACCAGTGTGCCTCCCTTTGTACGCAACCACACAGCTCTCGCTTCACCTGCCAATGTCACCGGTACCGTCTGAAGATCTCTTAAGCCCTCCGAATAGGGTATCACGGCGTGTGTTGCGCCGCTATCCAGGAGTGCCCTGTCTCCCTCAGCCTCCTCGACCCTCTGAAGAGAAGTAACTGAGAGTGCCTTGACTTCATGATCCCTGGCCATGGCCTTGAGTCCCTCAATCTGCGCGCTGAGTGATGCCAGCGTTGCTGGGGTACCGCCCGTCGAAGAAGTGCCTGTTCCCTGTCCAGATGTTGTATTAGCCGGACCTAACGAAGATGGACTTACCGCCGGAGGAGAAATCGGTGTAGCTTGGATAACCGGACGATCCTGCGATGGCATTGCCTGTTGCAGAATCACAGCGGCATCTGCTAGCATCGATTTAATCTGCTGGTGACTTACAGCATTACCAGGCGCTGGATTACCGGGACCCGTTGCTGCCGTTTCCTGGGCCTGTTTGGGACCGGGGGGAACCTTAGGTGGCCTCTTCGGTTTGGACCAATCATCTACCCTCAAACCAGCCTTGCACTCTGACGTTCTATGACCCTTGCCCCCGCATGTTCGACACCGCTGTGGCCTGTCACCAACTGGGATAGCATTCCAATTATGCTCAAAGCCGCAGTCTGCTCCCTTCTTACAACCGGCATGGCTCAAGTAAAAGGAGCACAACGGTTTCCCAGACGCACTGCCCTCGGCTTGGGTTCCGGACTTCGGATTGCTTGGAGGCTTAGGGTTACCTTTAGGGTTCTTTGGAGGCTTCGGCGGGTTCGGGGATGTTGTCAATTCCGCAGCTTCCATTCCACGCACCTTAGCCGGTGTATTTGGAGTTGACGTGTCACGAGGCCGATCCTTCTCAGCATCTCGATCCTTAGAAACCCGATGACCAATGGCCTCTAGCTCGCTCAACATTTGAGCATGCAACTTGCTCACCTTTGCATCGTCTGGGTTTGAATCTATGAGGAGGGAATGCCTAGTGATGTTAATCCGAAAGGCTACGTCAGGATGCGAAGTCATTACTGCCCTAGTGATCTTACTCAGAGCCTTAACCTGAAGAGAACAGTCAGGCAACGTTCCCCCAAGCTCGGACATGCGAGAGCACCAACGTTTCCACTTCCTCAGTGCTTCGATGGTGTCTGCAACGGTCGATCCTGCTACAGGCTCGGTGATGCTTCGCAAACCAATCTCGCGCTCTGTCAAGGAGCCAGGTGCGTAAATGACATAGAGCCGGCATACCAAAGCAAGCAAACCCGTAACCCTGGCAGCACTAACCTCTTCTTTAATTGCTGGAGGCAACGCAGCAAGAATCATGGTCTCGATTCGCCTTGCAACCCGAGTCCACTTCGGTCTGCTAAGGTTATCAGAAGGAACCGGAACCGAAGCTAACCTACCTAAGGGATCCAAACGTAAATAACTCGAGTACCAAATACCAGCTTCCTGCAAAGTGCACTCCCAAAGCTGTTCACTAGAGTCGCTCACATCTGAAAGGGGTGGTCGGGAGTTATGAATCCAATCAGCAAAGGCCAGGCATGACTCAGGTCCAGGAGCAGGTAGCTCGGGCAAGACTGTCACACCAGGTTTGATAACCTCAGGTTTCTCCCTATCATTACTCTTAGGGGATGCCAACTCAGTCATCAATCCCTGAAGCTGTGCCATTCCAGTAAGCACCACGTTCAAAGGATCTAAACCCGAAGTACCCTCGATATTCCTAGGAACCCCAACACCCACGGTAGGATCAGAACCCATAGCCATAGGCGCTCCCGAAGCCGGTCTGCCCTCGTGGGCAAATGTCGTCGCGTCAGGTCCAGTCGTCAGCCCAGCGGAACCACTACCAACAGGACCAGGACTAAACCCTACAGCCCGAGGCGCTCCGGATGCCACGCCGCCCTCGTGGGCAGTTGTCGTCACGTCGCTTCCGGTCGTCATCGGGACAGATGTCACATGTGGGGTTTGGACAGCATGATTAAGGATAGCATGGGACCCAGGTGCAACAGGCTGCAATCCTGCCCCTGGATGGGGCGAAGGAGTAGGGAGTTGAAGCGGTCCATATTCCAAAGACCGGTCAGCCCTGCCATAGTGGTTATTCCCAAGAAGAGAACCAATCCCTCTACCAATCCATCCAAATCCAGATAAGCTACCCTGACCCACCGAACCTGTCCTAGTGTCATGCAGATTAGATCGCTGTGCTAGTTCAGCACGCAACCTCAACTCAGAGTTTTCAACAGCTAAAGCTTCTACCTGCGCCCTCAGTCTTCGACTTTCCTCCTCATGAGCAGCCATCACCTCCCCTAACTGACGACGAACTTCAGCCTGAATGTCACTCGATGTGGCTGAAGCTACAGTTGGTGGTGGCGCTACTCCCTGATCTGCGGAATAAAGGTGAGGTGCAGCAGCCTGCATCGACTGCAGCCGCTGTATTGTCTGCGCATCCAGAAGCGGAGTGCTTGGAACCTGTCTTTCCGAAGGCGGATGCCCCTTGTCCTCCACACTCACAGAGGATCTTACAGAAGCGTATTCAACAGCATCTTGAGCGCCAGGTGACGCAGCTGGATTCTGAAGATGCCCAGGGCCCACTACAATCTCTTCTGCAACAGCAGGAATGGACTGCAATGACCTCATGACCCCATCAAGGAAACCAGTAAAGCCAGCTACTCTCGCCTGCCTCGTTCGCTGAACCTCAGTAACCACCACTCGGGTTCCAGAGGAAGTCGCCTGGTCATCAAGACTTGGACCTGAATTAGCCAGAGCATCTGACACAAC